CACTCGACTTCGTAGAGGACAGCACTTACAGCTCTCCCTCCGGTGCCAGTTATCCTGTCTGCTTAACATTGAGGTGCACACCGATCAGACGTCGCCAGAGCATCGCTGAGCCATATCCAAACATATTTATTGATAACTACTAGGCGCTGCTTATCAAGGATCCTAAATAAATAAATAAATAAATATTTTATTCTCGACTATGCGAGGCCCGCCAATTGAGGCATGATCAGGTATGTACAGCTGTACAGACATTTTGTGGCAACTGTAGTGGCAGTAGAAAATTGTTCATACGTTCATGCTTGGAACTATGCAATGGTGAACATGCGAAACAGCGATTTGGTTGCAGTGGATCGGGATCCATTTGGTTGGACATAATCGCTCTGCCATATATTGCAATCATACCTCGAATAATAATAGATTGAGAATCCTGAATGATCCAATCGAAGCTAATTAAAGAGCGCGCCAAAATGATGACGCCAATTGATCTGCCAGTGTAAAGTTATGGGCTGTGACTTTATTCGGTGGCGAGTCACATTCGCCACGTTGCAGTGTGGTTAAACGGACATTTGTGGCTTTTTATAAGGAGAACGTTTGCCAGGCGAAAACCCACCACGTCCTGAAACACTGCCGCCAATCCATTGAATGGCAAGTTGTAACGGGCTACGTTTCTTGTTAAACGTTTTTTGCTTCGTTATTCGCAGTCAAGTTGCGTCTAATTTTTCTGTTGACTGATGCGTGCCTGGGTCCTGCCTGCGCCAGATCGGTAGGTCAGGAACTAAACATTCTTTCTGGATATGATGAGTTGAGCATCTGCAGAACCATGTGAAATCACCGAAGGATAGACGTTGAAATTTGTTGAAGTATTGGAGGATAGGATAAGGTTCCGTAGAAAAAATCGCAGATCTCCCTGGGTATGTAGTGAAATTGATTAGAAATGTGGGAAACCACGGCCATCTGAGAGGGCAAACGGATTGAAGAGCTTAGATTGACCGATTGCTCAAGCTTTGTATCGGCAGGAGAATGTGCCTTCCGAAGTCGAAAGTCCTCCAGTCAAGAGATATGTAGAAGAGGTAGTGTTAGGTAAATTGAACTCAGTGGTTCAACCCGCGGAAGAATTGTATCAGTACGAGATATTGACTGATTTGTCCGGTTGGTAAGTTGTAAAAGAGTTGATAATTTTCCGCTCATGTCCAGGTACAGGAACTGTGCGCATTGTATTGTTGTCGCAACAGTGGACAATTCCTTGGGTGCGTGTCGCCGTACCTGTGACAGACTCGGGAGAAAAAAGAAACGAACAGAGACAGCCACACAGACAGAAGAAAGGAATGCATCTGGAATGCAGTCACTCAATTGCGGCGATGCCTGAACTATTGTATCCCTATAAATGTAATTGTTATTTAAATATCGCATATACACGTACATCAAGTGGCGTCATGAAATCCCAGCGGCCGATACGGTTCAGCCGGCCTGGGATAAATTTAAGTCTTATCGCACGGAAGTGTCTTCGCCCGACATCCTTTTTGCGCGGAGAATAGAGACGCGTGCACGGCCCCCGTGGATAGAGAACACTGGTCAGTACCTGCTCCAGAGGCGTTCTAGGTGCTGGAGAACCCACCGACTGGCTTCATCAACCAGCACCTATGATAGGTAACGCAAGGCTAGGAATAGATGTAAACAACAAGTAATGAAAGGTCGGCTATTGTGAGAAAAGGAATTGGTTAATGTAGCTTCCGAAAACCCGAAGTTCTTCGCTTATGTTAAGAGACGCTGTGGTGCAAATTCGGTCATTCCAACTTTGATGCGGGCAGGTTGAACTCATGCGTATGCGGACTTGGACAAGGCTCATGTACTTGGTGAACAGTAGGTGGGGTAACTTGTATGTGAGGCATCCTTGGCTAGCGTTGAAATTGTCCCTGGGTTACCCGATGGTTCTTATTTAGCTAAATTTACTGCGGTGGATTCTCAAGTCCTTAGACTGCTGCAAAAACTGGACCCAGCTAAAGCATCTGGAGCAGATGCACTTCATACGAAGCTGCTGTATGAGTTGGCGCTGGAACTAAATGAACCACTGACGAGGAGGTTTCAGAAGTCACTTGACTGCTGTACATTACCATCTGCATGGAATTATGCTGTCAACTGTCCTACCGACAGGTGTCTGTTGGCCATTTATAGGTCAGTCAGCCTGACTAGTGTCGTGGTCAGACTGCCAGAAACGTGGTGAGATATTTGTTGGAAGGTCAACTAAATAGCTTTAGTCTATTCACCAGTAAAGAACTGAGTTTCCGGAAGTGGTTTCCGTGTCTCACCAATTTCTTGGATGCTCATGACGGTTGCGCCGAGGTGGTGGACAATAGCCCCGTATTAAAGGTGCTTTTCGTTGCCTTCTCCAAAGCATTCGTTAAGGTACCTCACCTGAGGCTATCACAAAAGCTGAGCTATTACGGCCTATCTGGATGCGCCCAACACGATGGATCTGCATTCTTCATAGTAGAGAACAGTGCGTACGTGAGGGCTGCAGCTTATCCTTTAGTCAAGAGTTCCATAGGAGTGTCCCGCAGGGATCAGATTTTGGACCATGCTGTTCCACTATAAGTAAACGGCCTTCCAAAACAGCTGGGATATCATCACTATTGTTTGCTGCTGATTTTAGGCTATGGAACGTTGGAAATGCCCTTTGGGGTACGGTGGCAATTCAACATGCTTTAGGCTGACTCGGGGAACGGCCAACTGTGTGGCTACTGACCATTAACAAGGCTACTTGTTCCATCTTTCGTATAGAAACAGCTTTTCCACCTTCGGCATAAGTGCTCGGTGGGGTCGAACTCTCCCATGTCTTCAACCAGGTGGACCTAGGCGCCGTCCATTGCTCGTATGTGTATTCTGGTGGCAAGTGGAAGAATGCCGCAGATAAGATATCAGAAGGTTGTGGCTAATACGCCGTTCTTTCGGGGTGTTCACTGCCGACATATTTGTGAAGCAGTTCTCAGTTTCCGTTCAGCCCCATCTGAACTAATGCGTCCAGGCTTGTCCGCTCTGCCTTGCTCGGGACAAAATGGAGCTCGAGATGATTTTAAGAGGGGGTACCAACTTGGTCGAGAGGTTACGGAGCAATCGTACTCCGAGCGTCTACTTAGCATGAGTATGTATTCAATGCGCTCCGGACTGCTTGGAGGAGACCTCATCCATACGTACCGCATTTGAACAGGGAAGCTTTCACCGGACGGGAGCTGGCCCGGCTGGGTTGCCTTGTCTTCGTGGTCATCCGATGAAGCTACATAAGCCGCGTTTCGACCGGATCAGGGCGGCAACGGGTACCGCCTAGTTAACGAGCGCTGGAACCCGCTTCCATCAAGTGTAGGCAGTGAACCTGCGCTTAGGGGTTTTGAGCGTCAGTTAGACGCGCTTGGATGACAACACGAAACCTTTCCCTCCTCCTGACTATACCCAGGTTCAACCTTTGAGTTCATATTCTGTCGTTCCGCTCACTCATTGGTGTTATCCTTCATTTAAATGACTACCCTTCCTCTTTATCTTCCATTTTCTTTCTATTTCTTGCTTGCTTCACGTGACCTACACAACCGGGACTGCTAGTGCGGGGAACGTGGGCATTAATTGTTTGACCAAGGTATGGCTCGTATGTTTCGTTTGGGGTGCATTAGACCTTGTATTACCATTGCATTTCCTGGTTAATGCATCCTCTAAAGCAGGAACACTCAACGGATGTTTCTATCCGTCCAGTCCAATCTGAGTGCATTACTCGAGGAGCTTCACACAGAATCTTCCGTATTTTCCTCGTACATGCGAATATATCTGATCCAAGGGCTAATTATTTGCTGCTTACAGATTAAAATTTTTCATTTCCTTTGTTACTTTGCGGTACTCGTGATGGAACCTATTTTAAATTGTAGTGCCCACCGTGTTCTTAACTATCGGGGCCGTTGCCTTTACGAGGTCGAGAAACTGCTCATCATGCGCTAGTTCTCTATCACATGTTGCATATAGCAGACAAGTATACCCTCTAAACTTTGTTCTAGCTTTTTCATTGTTACACTGCTCTGTAGTAGAGTAAATGTATTCATTACAATTGACGGGGCATATATTTTCGCGTCGGGTTGCTATCTCATGAAAATGTGGTAGTTTACTAATACTATGCGAGCAGAAAATAAAAAATGGCACGCAACTTAATCTTGTACGCAATGTTGCGCACGCGTATACCTTTGTTTTTCAAGCTTTAGTAGACTTAGGTGCATGAATTAAGTTGGAATGCGGAGAAGCCTTCCGTTAGTGATTCAAGAGTATAACAATTTTATCCTTTTAATTTTTAGCTTTTCTTTCTGTGCAGGGGCCATCGCAAGCTTCCTTTTGCCGTTCCAATTGTACTAAACGTGGCCTTGGCACGGCTGCAAATTTTGTAGTGTGGAACGAAACTATCGGGGCGCGCTGCTTGACTTTGAACGGGCAGGACCACATGGAGAATTCTCGGGTCAAAAAACAAGGAACCAGGATAGGGAACAAAAATAAACACCCAAGAGCGATGTCCAAATAAAACAGCATACGTACACAGAACACGCAAAGGCGTGAATGCAACAAAATGGACAAGTTTTGCGCGATGGAGGAAATTTTGAACTGCTGCGGACAGCGGACAGTCTGACTGGCATAGCACGCTAATGAAGACAAACGACACGACCTACGTGTGATGAACATTAAGCCACACATGAACTCACACGGGGTGACGAGGTGAACGCTTGAAAAGGATAGCTTCGGGTTGATAGCATGGCCCGAACCAATTCAGGTGAAAGAACGTAGGCGATGTTCCAAGCCTTGTTTTAGTTGCATAATCGAGTTGTAGAAGAGTTGTTCAGCTGGGATCAAGCGTTCTCTATGTGTCTGGTGCGAAACGATGCATCCTAACATGCCGTAAGATAACTTATCTTTTCTGACGCCAGATGATAGGGACGACACAGATTAATCGGTGGTATGCAAATATCCCTCATCATCTTTTACAAATAAGCACAAATCGTCCACGCCATCAGATATGCCGTCACCGTAAAGAAACAAATATGCTCGGATTTTGAGAATGATGGGTTGTTGAATGGCTCGGGACTGACCTGCACTGCCTTTTGAACATGCGAGAGGTCCGGGATGCGATTGGTTCGCGGTTTGTGGATGACGGGGCGTGATCGATGAGTACTGTACTGTTCAGCACGGCCAAAACTGAGAAGCGGAGGAGGGTGAAACTGTGGATGCATTCGACAAGGTCCACCAAAGCCATGAACAGCGAAGTGGTTTGAACATCGAAGAGTTGGAAAAAGATCATTTTCTTGTTCTTGCTTATCGGAATGGACCCGCAAGTTTGGCCCAAAATGCTCATTTCTACCAGTGAAAATATATACCGGTGATGAGGAATAAGCCAATGGGAGGGTAGCAGAACGATCAAAACCATGGTTATCATCCTGCGACGGAGGAGCAAGGTTGACGGTTTGGCACACATTACCGAGCTGAGATAACCTAGGAGGAGTTGGGAACCGAGCACCCATTGCTATGGTGCCTCGGGAAGAAAATTGAGGGTAGATAAGCGGCCTGTCGTTGGGAAGTTCATTGCTTGATCTTTCGTCATTATCTTCATGCTCTTCATGGTTCGTATCACTTGGTACAGACATCCTGTGACACCATGCGTTGGTGAACATTTGGAAGAAATAGATGCAGCGATGGGTACACCTACATCTGGCGGTTTTGCTGTAAGAGAGAACACACGACATAGACGCGTCCTACCTGAAAGAATGACAGGAAACCTTGGCCGTTTTCAGAGATATCTCGCCCTGCGACGACCGGCACAATCAGGTTTTCGTTGGCCCTGCAGACAAATGTCATACCGCGGATCGTCTCGCTAAAGGAACACGCCAGGTGAGCATACCATGACATCATTTGTGATACCATCTCTTACTTGCAACTCGATTGTGACGTCGCTAACACTAGAATTATCGATAGCTGGGATTTGCTTACTGGGGCTAGTGGATACTGGCGCAGCTAGAAGCATAATCAGGGCCAGCGTGAGTAGGAGCTTCTCAAACTGTGTTAGAAAACCTTGTAACGCTCGCCTTACCGCGGCCAACGGGCTACCACTAGTTGTTCGGAATTCCATCGTTGCCCCCGTTGTTGTAGCCTGCACAACGTTTAACCATGAATTTATCGTTGCTGATCGGATACCGTTCGATGTTATTATCGGAATAGATTTGTTGAGGAGGTTAAAATGCCGACTTGACCTGGAGAAGTCCCAACTAATCACTGATTCGTGCACCATACTACTGAGAGCATGCAGCAACAGCAATTTTGAGGATTTTACGTTATATGAGTGCAGTGTCAAAGAGCAACAATGTGTAGACGATTTTATTCGGTCGATTGGGCTTTCAGCTGACACATTAACACAGGCACGATTAGCGCAGGTCCTACAAAATTATTCAGACGCCTTTGCATGGAAATCAGGCGATTTGGGACGGACCGGCCTGGTGAAACATGCTATTGACACCGGTGTGGCTAGACCGATTAAAGTGCCTCCGAGACGTATTCCAATCCACTGGCAGGGTGAGATACAGAAGCTGATAGATGAGATGTTAGAGAAGAACGTTATCCAACCCTCCAACTCCCGTGGGCATCTCCTGTTGTCCTGGTAAAGAAAAAGGACGGTGGTTTCCGATTATGCGTCGATTATCGAAGATTGAACGAGGCTACTCGAAAGGACGCCTACCCACTCCCAAGGATCGACGATCTGTTCAACGCACTTGGCGGATCTGTGTATTTTAGCACACTTGACCTGGCTTCCGGGTACTGGCAGGTGGAAGTAGAAGAGAGCGATCGAGCGAAAACCGCCTTTGTCGTGCCCTCCGGGTTGTACGAGTTTCAGACCATGCCATTTGGCTTATCTAACGCTCCAGCTACCTTCCAACGCCTTATGCAAAAAGCGTTAGCCGACCTGATCCCGCGTAAATGCCTCGTGTATTTAGATGATGTCATCGTACATGGAAAGACGGAAGATGAACACTTGGACAATTTGGCGAGTGTTTTGGAATGCTTGGTGAGAGTGGGATTAAAGCTTAAGCCCTCAAAGTGTCATCTCTTGAAAAGGGAAGTGGCGTACTTAGGGCACATAATATCTGGAGATGGTATTCGAACGGACCCGGTAAAGGCTGAACAGGTCAGATCGTGGCCAACGCCAACCACTACGGAGCAGTTACGTAGTTTTCTCGGGTTAGCATCATATTACCGGCGATTTATTCGAAACTTCTCATCCATTGCAGCCCCATTACACTCATTGTTAGAGAAGGGTCGAATGTTCGAATGGTCGAAGCAGTGCGCAGAAGCTTTCAATCACCTACGTGAATCTCTCTGTACGGCCCCTTTGCTAATATTTCCCGATTTGTCCCCGTCTGCTGGCCAGTTTATCTTGGACACTGATGCGAGTGATAAGGCGATTGGAGCGGTGTTATCACAACTGGGATCGGATGGTGTCGAACGAGTCGTGGCATATTGTAGTCGCAGTCTTAGCCCGAGGGAGCGAAATTACTGCACGACTAGGAAAGAGATGTTGGCATTGGTATATTTCATCAAACAAAACCGACATTATCTATTAGGTCGAAAGTTTCTGGTCCGCACAGACCACCAATCACTTCGGTGGCTGCAGAATTTTAAAGACCCCGAAGGCCAAATCGCGCGTTGGCAAGAGCAATTGCAGGAATATGACTTTGAGTGCAGACATCGCCCCGGTAAGCAACACGCTAACGCTGATGCATTGTCACGAATTCCCCCTCGCAACCATGGAGAGTGCCCTTCGTGTAATACGCAACACGTAGCAATCGTCAATCTTCAAGGAGCAGAGTATGGTCGGTGGCAAACGGCACAGGCGAACGATCCCGATACCGCATTGATCTACGAGAGGCGTCTTAATGGCGGCGACAAACCAACGAGTAAAGAGATGGAAGGGAAAAGTTACGAAGCTCGTTGCCTTTGGGCCATGTGGGATTACCTGACCACCGAAGAAGGAGTTTTGGTTTTCAATTTCGGACCGACGTACACGAGAAGAATCATCGTCCCGCATTCTATGGTTAGGGAAGTACTGAGCGATTTACACAAGGAAATGGGACACGCAGGGATCAATAAAATGGACGAAGCGGTTCGACGACGTTTCTGGTGGCCCCATCAACGGAGAGATGTGATCAACTACTGTCAAGCGTGCAAAGAATGTGGTGCCTTTAAAAACCCTCGTATCGTTCATCGTGCACCCTTGCAGCCCATGGTGGCCGGCTATCCTAACGAGATAGTAGGAGTGGATCTCATAGGCCCTTTACCTGAGACGCCACGAGGTAATCGCTTTATTTTGGTCATGATCGATTACTTTACTAAATGGTGCGAGGCTATACCGATAAGACAGGCGGATACGTCTACTGTGGCAACAGCTTTGGTAAATCATTGGGTCTGCCACTGGGGTGCACCAGGGCAGCTACACTCGGATAAAGGATCGTGCTTTGAGAGCTCACTGGTAATTGAAGTTTGTCGGTTACTTGGGATAGACAAAACTCGAACCACAGCGTATCATCCTCAAGGAAATGGGCAAGTGGAAAGAACAAATCGTTCTCTTAAATCGTTGCTGAAGGCCTTCGCGGACAGGAATATCAATGAGTGGGACAATGTGTTGCCCAGATGCCTACTTGCATACAGGAGCACAGTACATTCATCGACGGGACAGACACCATTCCTTATGTGGACGGGAAGAGAGGCACGATTACCTTCGGATCTACGTCTACCGATGACGCAACAGCTACAGTCGTCGGTTATGGAATATGTTAGCAAGTTGTTAGACTCCCTTTGGCAGTCTCATCAGTCAGCACGAGTGCATTTAGGGAATGCACACCGGCGTCAGAAGGAATATTACGACAAGAAGGTATTTGGCGTACCCCTGAAAGTTGGTGATTTAGTTTGGTTACACCAACCTCAAGCATCAGGAGTGCCGGCAAAGTTTCACAGAGAGTGGACGGGTCCATATACGGTAGAACGAGTACTCTCTGAGGCCACCTGCATGATAAAGGATCGTAACAACCCTAATAGTCAACCTATAGTTGTCCATTTCAATCGCCTCAAACCCTGTAGACGAGAAGCTGAGTCAGTTGAGTCAGAGAGGGCAGATTCACCACCAGTGGTCGCTCGTGAACTTGAAGTACCAGCTGAGGGGGCTACGGGGTAGCACCGGGGACGGCGCTCGAAGGAGGGAGGGTGTAGTGTAGTGTGGAACGGAAACTATCGTGGCGCGCTGCTTGACTTTGAACTGGTGCTTACGCTGCGCTCTCATTTGCCTTGCAGGAAACTGGTCGTGTGCTTTAACGGAAGAAGTGCAAGCAGAAGAAGATTGACTGTAACGTTTATCTTTCTTTTTCTAACATTATTTCCTCTATTGTAGTTTGCTACGTGTTGCTTAATAAATCTCTAGTTCCAATCTCCGGAGTTCTCCCAAGCTTGTATACTACAATTTCGGTGCACACAGGTTTCTTACCTCGGCCACAAGGCCGACAATCCGACACGCAGACCACTAGGCTAAAGGCGGGCTAACTTGCTAAAAGACTAGCAGCCTAAAAGAAAATATTGCAAAAATCAACGTACGTCGTGCACTCTTTAAATTTTATAGGCTTTCAAAGCTGCTAAACACGATTACCGCAGTTATACTTCCATTTCCTCCTTAATTTGTCGCTACAGGCTATACGATACTTGGCCAATTGAGGTTTCTTCATTCAAGGAGCGATTCTGGTGCGTTGTTTACAAGTATCGTGCAAAACGTTTGACTGTGGTCACGGTTCGCTTGATCCAAGTAATCTAGTATCACCGCTTTTACCGAATTACATCGTACCTTTCTCTTGTACTTACCAAATACCGTCAAGCATTTTCGGGCTTAACCTCTGGCTGGGTAGCTGGTATGTCTGTGGTTTGTACTCCGTGTACACGTTGTTCTAGCGCAAAACACTTTTAATTGACTTCCTTACAGGTTACAGCCTTACGTTTACATTGTCTTTGAAAGCGTCATGTCATCTCCACTGAATACCGGCGCTACGGTGTCTACAGCTGCACTGAGTAGCAAGTGTTACGTTGCACGCTGCTGTATGCGCTTGAACAATGAATAATGAAGCAATGAACCAAGAAGCATTGCTTTACAAGTCCCGTTGGATAGTTGGTTGGAATATCAACATAACAATAATGATAATAAGGATAGTAAAATAGTTAATACTTTAAATATGATAATAAGCACCAATCGTTTGCTTCGTTGCAGTCCTGCGATCCTCTTAGATTCACAGCACCCACAGTTAACGACAACTAATTCCATGGTAAATTCCAGGTGTAGGATGGAGACGTAGTGTTAAGTGATAAAGTGTAAGTGGATGAGTGCTTCGTCTAACCATCTTTTAAATACTGTCAGTGTCGATGCAGAAACGACCGATTCTGGGAGAGCATTCCACGGGTGACAGACACGAATGGAAAAGAAATTTCTGCGGCACTCCAGACGACTGTATTGTTCTGCGAGTTTTAATGAGTGGCTTCTCAGGTTTGTATCGCTGTTGAGTTGCAGTAAAGGGCGGCACACATGAGGTGGGTCTCGCAGAAACAAGTATGCCATAGTCTG